TGGAGCTTCACCTGAGTCAGTCTGACTAGAAAAGACATACTCTTCAAGGAAAGAGGAACCTGGCAAAATTACACATCTGGGGAAATTCCTCTCTTGTAAATCCAGACTCAAGTTTATCCCTATGATTTCCCCCTTCTCTAGAGAAAATTAAGAAAATGCTCAGAGGAAAGAAAATCTCCCTTCCAACCTAAAGTCTCTGGAGAAGCATCTGGGGCAGAAAGGGCAGGGGAAGTCAGTAATAGTAGATTTTTATTCACTCTGTTGCTCTGCCTGTTTTATTCCTAGTTTGGGACCCATAAGTGAATATTGGGTTTAGGAACTTCTCTTTCTAAAATATTGGAATGTAGAAGCACATTCGGAGCCTGGCAGAAGACCCAGCTGTGTGGTCTGCTGGGACATGTTTTAAAAAAATCTACTTTGGAGTTGGAGATAAATGGTGGTTGTGGTGATTTGTAACATTTTTCCATTTCTGTGATGCAAATATTGTCATTATGGCTGATTTCAAGTTGAAGAGGAATGTACATGATCCAGCTTTGGTGAAATAGGAACTGGCCCCAGCACACCACTGCATGCGTGACTTCTCTGGCTTGAACTGAAGCCACAAAATTGACCAAACCTCAGTAGATTTAGTATATCAGTTCTTTGTCCCAGCTCTAAATTCAATTACCTTTCTGTATGTTTTGGAGTTCTCTTTCTCAAAAGGCTGACTATGGAGTATTTCTTCGTCTTCCCAGCTTATCTGCTTTGCTGAACATCCAACAAATCCAAAAGACATTTTTTGTTGTTGTTTAGATCTATTTTCATCACTAAGAAGAAACATGAAAATCAGTATTTCTAGAAATATCACCAAGTCTACTTCAGCTTGGGTGGCCCTGGAAGCCCTTTCCAGATCAATATGAACACATGGCTAACTTCTTAAGGATGGAGGAGCATTCCAGCCAAAACTCAGGGTTTTTATCAGTAGGATTAATGAAATGTTAAAGGTATTAGCAAAGCACTTCTCCATATCCCTAAACAGCTGACCTCATCTACAAAGAGCTCCATTTTTCAGGGAAAAAAAAAAAAAGATGAATGATGAATCAAAACAAAGAGTTGGAAAGGGAGCCATTTCTCCAAAATCTTTGTCATTCTCTTCCAAGATAGCTCTAGACAATGGTGTGAGTGTGTGTGTGTGTGTGTGTGTGTGTGTGTGTGTGTGTGTGTGTGTGTGTGTGTGGCATTAGCCACTGGTACCAGGCTCCTCTTGTCTTCTCCCAGCTATCTTTCTAATATCCTCCAATTTATCATATCCTTTATTCTACTAAGTCCATCCTCCATTACATAGATATCATCAGATCCTCATTGATTTTACCTTCTCCCACCCAGATGCTCTTCCCTCTGAGCTGGGAAATAAAGGTTGGTCACCTCAACCACTCCTTCATTCCTTGTTTCCCTAATTCTCGGGGACCACACCACCCACCAAGCGTTGGTAATTATCAACTCAAGGAGAATAAAATTTGTATCCTCAAAACAGGAATGTTATCTATATTACATGGCAAGACTGAGATCAAAAGTCACATAAGCATAATTATGTAGATACCTGAAAGTGGATATCACCAAAAACTGTGAAGGAAGAGAGTGTTATTGCCCTGGTCTAGCAATACAAGACTTAGAGCTGACTGGGCCTGGTAAAAACCAGCTCCCTTCGTGGCTCTTGGACAATGAGGCAACACTGTCCTCACCCAGGTTTGTGGCTGGTTCTTTGTGGGAAGGATAATCATTTCCTCCTCCTCCTTGAGCATCTTGGGATCAATTCCCAGTGGCACAGACACCTGAAGAGCGCCCCCTTGTTCCCGCTTCCCTTACCTCTTCATCCTTCTCACATGCTTCTTTTCTCCCCTGTCTCTTCCTCAAATTTCACCTTTTAAATCAAAGAAAATGAAGGGAAGCCCAGCACCAGAAGAGGCCTGAGCAAACACAGGCAGGGCAGCAGCCCAGCCAGCTGCTGCTGAGACATGAGTCTTTCCTCTCCTCTTTGGAGAGCTCTGACGTTCTGCTTTGTACAAAACTCCCTGCTTTTCATTGTTATCAATTAATAAATTATCTTTTAGTTAAGACTTGGTGCCTGAGAGAGTTTAGAGGGGAAAAATCTGGTTCCTCCAGCTCCTGGGAAATACAAACCTTCCTTAAAGGTATATATTGTAGTTTTCTAGAGCAGTCAAACCCAGAGGGTGATTAAAACCAAGCCACAGGCCCTAGCTATCTGCTTGGCATTTATCAAAAGAAGAGTTTGTAATCGCAGTTGTGGGACTCTAGCCACACCATACATTGCCTGAACTCCTAGGCCATCCTTTGACATCCTCAGTTAACTCACCCCAACAAGCACAGTTAGCCTAGTTTTATTTACACTATTCACAACATGTGTGTGCATGCGTGCACTGGTCCTGGGGCTTAAACACAGGACCTGGACACTGTCCCTGAGATTTTTACTCAGTGCTAGTGCTCTACACTGAAACCACAGCTCTACTTCCAGAGTTTTGGTGGTTAATTGGAGATAAGAGTCTCATGAATTTTCCTGCCTAGACTGACTTCCAACTGCAATTCTTAGATCTCAGCCTCCTGAGTATTATAGGCATGAGCCACAAATGCCAGGTTTCTTCTGTACTTTTTACTTCTCTGACTTTGAGAGAAATGCTCTACCTCTCTTGACTACTTCCTTTCAGTTGGCTTTAAAAAAATCACTAATTGGGGCTGGGAAGGTGGCTCAGTGGTAGAGCGCTTGCCTTGCATGCATGAGGCCCTGGGTTCAATTCCTCAGCACCACATAAGCAAAAAAAGAAAAAAGCTGTAAGTGGCGCTGTGGCTCAAGTGGTAGAGTGCTAGCCTTGAGCTGAAGAGCTGAGGGACAGCGCCCAGGGCCAGAGTTCAGGCCCCACACCGACAAAAATAAATAAATAAATCACTAATTGTAGGATAGAGTCCTAGTTCAAGTGGTAGAATATTCACCTAACTAAGCTCAAGTCTCTGAGTTTAAACCTGAGTAACCACTCACACACCCAAATGAAAATGAAAACAAAATCATTAATTCTGCAGGTTATACACTGAGCTATATATTACACTCACACTAACTATACTGTACATAATACTTTAACATATAGGTTATAATGATTATCATTGCCTAAATTGCTTTTCAGGAACATAAAAGGATTTGAGGTGGGTTTTTTTTATCAAAAACTACCAATTATTCACTTGTACTTGCATAGGTGTCTGATGGGTGACCTTTTGAAATCAGAAGGCTGACTTCAAGATCACATATCACATGAATTGCCATGAGGTTTAACTGTGTGCACAGACCCCAGATCATTCCCAATCGCCTGTCTCCACAACCTAAATACTCCAAATGCCATCCTCAGATTGGCATATTTGAGACTTGGGTGTTCCCCCTCCATGTTCAACTGCATTGCAAATAATCTCTTTTGTAAAACCTGTCTCAGAGATTCGCTTATTGTGTGGCTGTCAAAATGGATCTGATTCCATAACATGACAAATGTTTTAACTTTATATTTTAAAGTTTAACCTTTCAGAACCTGCCAAGAGATCATAATCATCACTATCAACATCATCATCATAATTCCATCTTTGTATAGGTCCCATCTTTTTTTTTTTTGTGGGCCCTGGGACTTGAACTCTGGGCCTGGGCACTGTCCCTCAGCTCTTCAGCTCAAGGCTAGCACTCTACCAATTAAACCACAGGACCACTTCCAGTTTTCTGAGTGGTTTATTGGAGTTAAGAGTCTCACAAACTTTCCTGCCCAGGCTGGCTTTGAACCATGATCCTCAGATCTCAGCCTCCTGAGTAGCTAGGATTAAGGCGTGAACCACCAACACCTGGCTTGTTCCTATCTTTAGAGCATGTTTATTTTATTTTAGTAAACTAAAACTAAGACCTTTGGCCAGGCATGATGGCATATACCCATAATCCTAGCACCTTTGGCCAGGCATGATGACATATACCTATAATCCTAGCACCTATTTAGTGAAATGCTGTCCAAGTGGGGAAGGAGGGAGGTTGAAGATAGAGCTCAAAATGGTAAAGCACACACCTAGCATGTGTGAGGCCCTGAGTTCAATCCCCAATACTGAAAGAGAGAGAGGAGGGACAGCAAAAGAGAGGGAAGGGCTCTGGCCCTTTAATTTAAAACTGACAGGTTTCAGCTAAGAAACAATGCTACCAAAAAGCATCCACAACTTTGTAGATATTGGCTGAGCACTCAAGCATCTCCCCCAATACACAGATATACAAAGCCTCTACAGAATGCCCCACCTCACTCCCTCTCTCAAAGCATGAGTTTCTTGCTAACTTGCTTTTCCCATGTGGCTCTTCCTACCTCCTCCCCCTCCATCCTTCCCCTCAATCTCTCCACACATACCCTCAACTCCAGTCCCTGGCCAGAGGTGAAGATGAAGGCTTCCCTGTGGTAACCCTTGTCTGACACATAAGAAAAGGGGTGTCTAGGGGCTGAGAGTTGTTTTTCTGAGTCCCCGAATCATGCCAGAGCTTTCAGTCTTGCTGCAGAGCACATGTCACAAACACTCCACTGACATCCACCAATCAAGAGGTAGACAACCACTTTTCTTTCTGGAAATTTTTATTAGTTCCTTCCCAGATACCCAGGGCATCTTTCTAAGGCTCCATGTACCCTCCTATTACTTGTTTATGCACGTTTTATTCCTTAAACAAAATTTTCTTTTGGAATTCAAGCCAGTCCTCCTTCCCACCCATGCTTAAGCAATATCTGTCCCTCCCCCAAGCACTGGGTTGGGCTCTGGAAGCAGATGAAGGCCTCAAGCAACTGGGGGCCTTGTCTGGCCAAACCCACCCCCACACAGTCACCCTCTGTAATGAGCTCTGTGTGCCAGAACAAAGCTTGCAACACCGAGGAGTGGTTGGTGGGAGGTGGCTGCACCCTCTGCCCAGAGTATTTCACAGCGCTTACCTTATCAACCGCTTCTCAAGAATCAGCTGCACCTCTGATACAAGCAAGGCCAGGAGCCTGCTGCTGGCCCTCAGCCATGATAAGAAGAGGCTTCCAAGTGGCAGCAAGACTTGGCCACCAAAGAACTCTTTCCAAGATACCCCATCTCTTGCCTAGACTCAACATGGCCTCAGCATCTGGATCCCCAACAGACTCCCTGGTGAGTGAATTCCCAGCCCAGTCAGATGAGCAGTTTTTCTTCCTCTATCTGGAGGTCCCACAGCCCAAGCAGCAATCCCTAACCTCCAGGACACCATCTGTCATCTTGATTTTTCCTACCCAGGTCTCAAGATTCTGTCTAGAGAAGACAGACTTGAAGGATTATGCCCTTCCCAATGGCAGCTGGGGTCCAGAAATGTTGAGCCTATACCAAGAGTTTCTGGAGAAGACCAAATCGGGCAGTTGGGTAAAAATGCCCTCCTTCAAGTCTAACAGAGAACACATTCAAGGGCTCAAACTGCCATTCGAGTTGGGAGTTACCTCAGGTAAGACAGGCCCTGGGCCTCTCAGACCCACACACATCCTAACCCACACTGATGAGACCCTGAGTGGGACCTGTGGGTCACTTCACCTAGCTCCATCCCTGTGTTAAAAAAAAAATCTGGAAGACTTACAAAGCCCTTTCCGGTTCTCAACCTAGAAACTCTTCCTGGGTCTGAACGCTCCCCAGCTGTGGGTGGGAAGGGTGTCCGCTCAGGTCTCTCACCCCCTTCCTTCCCTCTGAATGGAACACTTCCCGGTGATGTCTTTGCTCCCAGCCGATTGTATGTCCCCACTGGAGAGCTGTCTGCTCGGTATGTGCCCTTCCTCACTTCTCACTGGCAGGTCTTTGCTCACAGTGCTCTCCTCCCCAGCCCCCCTTGCCCTCAGGCCTCAGCTTAGCTAGGCTCAGAGTGGCATTTTAGACAACCATTGTAGTGTACTACCACCTTCGTCTTTCTTCATGGGCTTATGCATGCGTGTGTGTGTGTGTGTGTGTGTGTGTGTGTGTGTGCATGAGAGTAGTCGGCACAAAATAATTTAAGAATTTGAAGCCAGGTATTGGTGGCTCATGCCTGTAATCCTACCTACTCAGGAGGCTGAGATCACAGTTCAAAGTCAGGGCAGGAGAATCTGTGAGACTCTCCAATTAACCACCTAAAAACTAAAAATGGAGCTATGGCTCAAAGACTTGAGCAAAAAAGCTCAGGCCCTGAATTCAAGCCACATGGCACACACACACACGCACAAATTGAGAGCATAGGATGATGGTTCATACCTGTAATCCCATCTACTTTGGAAAAGCAGAGATCAGGAGAATCATGATTCAAAGCTAGTCTGAGCAAAAACTTTAGCAAGACCCTCATCTCAACCAGCAAGTCATGCGTAATGGTGTGCATCTACAATCCCAGCTATTGGAGAGGCATAAGTAGAAGGATTGTGGTCTGAAGCCAGTCCTGGGCAAAAACACAAGACTCTACCTTAAAAGCAACTAAAGCTAAATAGGGCTGGGAATGTGATAGCGCACGTGCCTAGGGAGCACAAGAGCCTATGTTCAAACCCTAGTGCCACCGAGAGAAAAAAAGAAAAATAATAAAATAATAAAGAAGGGATACAGTTAGTTAGTTGCATTAGAGGGAAAGTTCAGAGCAACTTTGGTAGACTCACTCTATTTATTTACTTATTTACTCTGTGTGGGAGGTGGGGTGGAGGGGCATGTGGGTATGGGTATGTTTTACTAGAGTTTGAACTCTGGGGCTTCCATTTGCTAGACAAGCATTCTACCACTCCAGTCACACCCTCAACCTAATAATGCTATTTTTAACGATATGCAAGTTACATGAATAATCATTTTTAAACAATCCTTATGCTGGTTTTATTTATTTATTTATTTACTTATTTATTTTTGAGCTTTATTTATTATTATTAGTTGTTGTTGTCGTTGTTGTTTGTTGGTCGTGGGGCCTGAACTCTGTACCTGGGCGCTGTCCCTCAGTTCTTCAGCTTAAGGCTAGCACTCTACCACTTGAGCTACAGTGTCACTTCCAGCTTTTTCTGTTTATGTGGTGCTGAGGAATCAAACCCAGGGCCTCATGCATGCAAGGCAAGCACTCTACCACTGAGCCACCTTCCCAGTCCCAGTAATCATTTTTTTTTAAGTTAGCGGTGCTGACAGCCTTTTCAAGTGTTACCTGGACTCTGATCCTGTCTCCACCCTCACCCAGGGAACTGTTTGTCTCCATGGACATATTCTCTCTAAAGACAGGGACTGTGTCTCTTTTCCAAGATTGAAGGCTCCCTGAGGGTGAAGCCTTGATCTAGTCTAGACAGGTCAGCTGGTAGAGGGCTCAACTTACAGTGCTGCATCCTGATGAATGCTACACCTTCAACCATCTGTTTTCTCCGATTGGGACACTGTCCATCTCTCCCCAGACAAAAGTGACGGGCGCATCTTCACCAGGTGCATCCAGGCAGAAGGACAAGGCTACGAGTATGTTATCTTTTTCCAACCATCCAAGAAGAAGTCAGTCTGTCTTTTCCAACCAGGCCCCTACTTGGAGGGGCCTCCAGGGTAAGAGCACGGCCAGGGTGGGCTCCTCCTTTCTGGCTCAACAGAGTGGGTCTGCACCTCTCTTCAAGGAGCCAAAATGGGGATGTGAGAAACTGGGCTTCAGTCTCACAATGGGCAGCCTGGGAGGACATGCGGGGCTATCTAGTGCAGTCTGTGTTGTTCAGGTAAGGGAAAGCCCCCTTACTGAGGTCTCGGGATTTTCTAGCAAGAAAAAGCCTGGTGCTGGTGGCTCACACCTATAATCCTAGTGATCAGGACACTGAGAATGGGACAATCACTGTTCCAGGCCAGCTGGAACAGAAAAAGTCTGTGAGATTCACATCTCAATGTCAGGAAGCTGCATGTGGTGGCATGATTGACATCCCATTAAAGACAGGAAGTCTAAAATAGGCTTAGTGTGGTACAGGCAGGGAGCAAGACCCTCTCCTGAAAATAACCAATGAAGCCAGGTGCCGGTGGCTCACGCCTATAATCCTAACTACTCAGGAAGCTGAGATCTGAGGGTCAAAGCCAGCCTGGGCAGGAAAGTCCATGAGACTCTTATCTCCAATTAACCACCAGGAAACTGGAAATGGAGCTGTGGCTCAAAGTGGTAGAGTACTAGCTTTGAGCTCAGTGCCAGGCCCTGAGTTCAAGTTCCATGGCTTCCAAAAAAAAGAAAAGAAATGGAGGCATGACCCAAGCAGTAGATCTCCTGCCAGCAGGTGCAAATTACTGAATTCAAACTCCAGTACCACCAAAAGAAAAAAAAAAGAGAAAGAAAGGCTCCAAGATGCCATTTTGAGCAGGATGTGATTACCTGGGAGGGGGTAATATCTGGAAGCAAGAGCCTGACCTCCATTCCTGCTCTGAAGTTGCAAACAAGCAGTATCGCCTCTGGTTTTTTATCTGTCTTACTTGAATTCTAGGACAATAATACCTGCCTGCCATAATAGACTATATAATGAACATAGTGTGTGCTCTCATGAGCCAAAAATCGCAATATAGTTATCATACATGTATATCCAAACTCTTGTATTACCCTGAAGTGCAGAGACATTAACTTGTCTGAAGTAGCACAGCCAATCAAAGTCAGATCCAGAACTCTAATCCAGGAATTGGGATGCCAACTCTCCTTCTACTGTACTCTACCACTGCCAAACATATACTAGACCTAGGAAGAAAGTCATACTGAACGTAAATCAGGATGTCCCTGGGCCTCTTGGCTAAGGCCACAGGACCTTCAAGTCTATGGTTCTCTACCTTCTCTTCCATTCCTATTCTTACTCTAGTCACCAAAGGAGAAAGTTGTTGAGGGCAGAGTTCTTGCAAGGGAAAGAGGGACCAAAAGTGTAGCATAAGCTTTATAGTCCTAAGAATTCTGAAAGGAGCTTTACAGGGTTAAAGAGTATCCAGAGTGCTAAGTATGTCAGCTCCATAGGCTGTGGGCACAGACTGCAGCCCTCAGAGTCTTAGCCATCCCACAGGTGTCCTTCACTGAAACACTGTTCTCCAAACCACTGAATAGAGCCTTTCCTGGGCCACCATCCCTTTCTTTCTGCAGAAGAAAACTCCAAGAGGCAGATGGATGTCTGATGTGTGCTAAGGAAGCGAAACAGACCATCCAACACAGGCTGGCCAGCAGATTGAGAAGGATCCAGACAAGAGATTAATATTCATTGGTCCCCCCAGGCAATAGGAACAACTAACTCATTGGTCAAAAGCCACTCTGCAAAATCAGTAGTTACTAACAGATCCCTTTCTGGACAGCAAGATAAAGAAGGAAGAACAGATCTCGGTGGTTTGGTTTTGTTGTTGTTGTTCACATCAACGTCTTTTCCCTTTTCTAAGCACTTTAGGAGATGAGGAGGTAAATACCTGGAAATATGCATAAGGTTTTACAAACATTTGTTCATTGAATCCAGTGAGATGGGAAGTTTTTATTCACAGTGTATAATGGAATAATTAAGGCTCAGAAAAGTTTAATAACTTGCTCAAAAGCAAACAGGTTAGCCGGGCGCTGGTGGCTCACGCCTGTAATCCTAGCTACTCAGGAGGCTGAGATCTGAGGATCGCGGTTCAAAGCCAGCCCGGGCAGGAGAGACCGTGAGACTCCTATCTCCAATAAACCACCAGAAAACCGGAAGTGGTGCTGTAGCTCAAGTGGTAGAGCGCTCGCCTTGAGCTGAAGAGCTGAGGGACAGCGCCCAGGCCCAGAGTTCAAGCCCCACGACCGACCAAAATAAATAAATAAATACATAAATAAATAAGCAAACAGGTTGTTAGCAGTGAAACAAGGAAACCAACCCGCTGATGTGGTGCCATGGCCCCCAGCTCTTTCCATTAGACGAAAGGGAACGTGAGGGCCTGCTAAGTTCACTGATGGCAGAATCTGGAAAACAACCTTTGTTCTACAGCATGAACAGCTAGGTCCATGGAGAATTGCAATTGCACTTTCTGGTTGTGTGTGTGTGTGTGTGTGTCCACATGCACGCACACACAAGTGCATGCACCAATCCTGAGACTTGAACTTGGGGCCTGAACGTATTTATTCAAGGCTAGTGCTCTACCACTTCAGCAACACAGCTCTACTTCCAGCATTCTGGTGATTACCGGGAGATAAGAATCTCACCACTGGGACGGGAAAGGTGGCTCAGTGGTAGAGTGCTTGCCTCTCATGTATGAGGCCCTGGGTCGATTCCTCAGCACCACATAAGCAGAAAAAGCCAGAAGTGGCACTGTGGCTCAAATGATAGTGTGCTAGCCTTGAGCTGAAGAGCTGAGGGACAGTGCCCAAGCCCACAGTTCAGGCCCCATGACAGACCAAAAAAAAAAAAAAGTCTCACACCACTTTCCTGTCCCAGCTGGCTTCAAACTACGATCTTCAGATCTCAGCTTCCTAAGTAGTGAGGATTACAAGTATGAGCCACCAATGCCTGGCTACAATTGTACTCTCAAATATCAGAAACTTAAACCTATTTTGCTATTTGCATTCTAAAGTTGGGGGCCTCTGAATTTTCTCCAGTTAACTAAAATGATGTGATTTTGTTATGAAGGCCAGCTTGCATGGAAATGAAGGTTTTCATATCCAATAAGTAAAGCAAATGTTTGCAGCATGTTTGCAGCCTGCTGGAGCAGGCTTTTACCTTTTCCAAACAATACTGCTCAGGAGTCTGCCTTGCTGGCATATATGATATATGTTATTTCTCACATCTACCTGTCATGAAACTGTGAGCTAGTATAGCAAGATAGCACAACCGCTGAAAGGGGTGGGGTGTACTACTGGAGGGGTGGGGCGTTGAGCCCCACATGGCTAGCTGTCAGGAAGTGATTGGACCATGGACAGCTTGGGGGAGGCACTGAATGGCAGTTGGAAAACCATTGGAGGGAAATCTGTTAGCCCAGAGGGAGGAGGGGAAAGCTTGGAAGAGAGTAGTACGAGTGGAGGGAGAGACGGCAGGAGGGAAAAGCCTTCGGAGCAGAGCAGGGCAGGCCTGTGAAGGACAGGGCAAGCCTCCAGAGGCCATTTGGGGCTTCTCAAGGAAGCCATTTGGGGCCTCATCGAGGGGCCATTTGGAGCCTCCTTCAGAGGTCATTTGGGATCTCCCTCTAGAGAGGCCTATGGAGAGGCGCCTCCCAGAGCAGATCAGGGCAGGCCTGTGGCCTGTGGAGAGTGGAGAGGCCTTCAGTGGAGGAGGAAGGGAAGAAAGGGAAAAGCCTTCCCCTTTGGAGCTTTGGAGCTTTGGAGCTACAGAGATTTGGAGGTTTGCAGGCCAACTAATTGGGGTTTGCAGACCGACGAATAATGGTCGGGGGGGTCAGGGCTGCCTATTGGAGGCTTGGAGGTTTGATGGTTGAGGCTGCTCTTGGTTCTGGGTATCTAGCCCAGGACAAGGTAGTCTCAAGACCCTTTTCTGGTGTAAATAAACTTCTTTTGTTCATCTTTCACTGTGACTCGATGGATTGTCTTGCTCTCCAGAGGCTATAAGTCTGCCTTGAGCAGAAAAGCTCAAGGATAACACACAGGCCCTGAGTTCAAACCTCATAACCAAAAAAAAAAAAGTTTTCAGGTAGGCTAGAAGGTGTGGTGAGGTGGTCTGCCCATTCTTACACTTGCTCCCCACCCAATCCCTAGGTTTGCCCATGGAGGATCTCTGGCAGCCATTATAGATGAGACCTTTTCTAAAACTGCCTACCTGGCTGGAGAGGGGCTGTTCACACTAAGCCTAAACATCAGGTTCAAAAAGTAAGTATGGATTCCTGGAGCTATCCTGGGCAGTTGGAATGTGGGATCCCAAACTGTCACTCTCCTGCCTTGGCCTACTCCCAAGCAGTCCTTGAGTCCCTGGCCAGAGTGCAACCTCAGCCATCCCACTTTGGGAATGTATGAGTCCCTGAGGCCAGGTGGGGTAAAAATAAGATGAGGGTCACAATGAGGGTGAAGTTGAAGGATGGGCTAAACTGACTCTTCTCCCAGCTTGATCCCTGTGGGCTCACTGGCTGTCCTGGATGTCCAAGTGGAAAAGATTGAAGATCAGAAGCTTTACATGTCTTGTGTTGCCCAAAGCAGAGACCAGCAGACAGTCTATGCCAAATCCTCAGGTAAGGAATTACTCAGCCCTAGGCTCTGACCTGCCATAACCCACCTCAGAACAAAGACTGCTGGGGATCCATTCCAAAGCTGGGGGTCTAGCTATTTTTAAGGGTGGGATAGTGCACCTACTACTACTACTAGAGACATGAATGAAGGGAGAAAGAACCCAACTAGGATTTTCTTTCCTTTTTCTTTCTTTCTTTCTTTCTTTCTTTCTTTCTTTCTTTCTTTCTTTCTTTCTTTCTTTCTTTCTTTCTTTCTTTCTTTCTTTCTTTCTTTCTTTCTTTCTTTCTTTCTTTTTGTCGGTTGTGGGCTTGAACTCTGGGCCTGGGCACTGTCCCTCAGCTCTTCAGCTCAAGGCTAGCACTCTACCACTTGAGCCACAGTGCCACTTCTGGTGTTCTGGTGGCTAATTGGAGATAAGAGTCTCATGGACTTTCCTGCTCACATTGTCTTGGAGCCTCCACCCTCAGATCTCAGCATCCTGAGTAGCTAGAATTACAGGGGTGAGCCACTGGCCCCGGTAACAGGGGACAGTTCCAGGTAGTGGGTAATTTGGAGTCTAATGATCCATTCACATAGGCAAACTCTTGCCCTCGTGGCCCTCCTGTCCTCTAGACTCAACGCACCCTTCTCTTGTAGGTGTTTTCCTTCAACTGCAATTGGAGGAAGAGTCACTGCAGTAGCAGTCATTGTGTCCTCAGTAGCGATGACCCTGATGGCCCTTCCAACCTGGTACTAACCACACAGCAGGCAGGGTTCCCCAGGAAGCAGATGGCAGGTGAGGGAAAGGACATGTTCTCCAAGTAAATAAACTCTCACCCCATGCTTAGCCCAAGAGTCTTCTGTAAATGGAATCCAAAATCTTCCAAGGGCCTCCCATTCACCCCCCCCCCACTGAGATCTCAGAGAGTTATTGAGTTCCTCCTAGGTGCCAGGCACTGGGTGGGGCATTGAAAGATGCACAAGGGGAAAGTGGTACACAGAGGGTCTGTCAAGCTCCTCCTGTCTCAACCGTGCAGGAACAGTAAAGGCAGACAGAGGCAGGTCCATGTTGCTCTCTGACCACAATGAGACAAGGCTTCCTAAAGCAAAATGTGCCTGAAAGAAGTCTCAAAAGTTAAGTGGAACTCACTCACCAGGCAGGAGGGGCGGGTGGGATATTTCAGCCAGAGGGAACCAAAAGAAGAGAGGCACTGTCACATGAAAGGGCACAGGGACTTTGGACAACTGCAAGGCACTGAGTAGGGCAGCAGTCTCAGGAAAGAGAAGGTGCTCAGGGCAAAAGCACACCATGGGAACCTTCAGAATCACCGCCATAGAGTAGGAACTGCATGTTATAGATAACAGCAGCCACAAAAGGTCTGCACTGAGGAGAGACATAATGTTGTTTTTAATTGAGGTGACAGGTGGGAGGAAGCAACAGCAAGACTGAAGGGAGGGGGCTGGGAAGGTGGCTCAGTGGTAGAGTGCTTGCCTAGCATGCATGAAGCCCTGGGTTCGATTCCTCAGTACCACATACACAGAAAAGGCCAGAAATAGCACTCAATTGGCAGAGCATTAGCCTTGAGCAAAAGAAGCTCAGGGATAGTGCCTAGGCCCTGAATTCAAGCCCCAGTACAAGCTTTGCTACTGGTTACACATAGTAGATGTGTGAAAGAGAGCTATCTAAGATGATTTCAAGTTTCTAGTTTGTGGAGCAGGGGCTGTTTCACATAATATCATAGGGAACACAGGAAAAGCAGAAGTGGAGAATGAGCTGTTTCACATGGACTGAGCTTGGAGTACTCATGGAACCTACACTGTGAAGGAAACACCAGCAAGATCCTGGATATTATGATTGGGCACTCAGGAAAAGAGAAGCTACTGACTCCGTTTGTGGATTAAATACTAAAGCCCACATGGAACCCCTGGGAATAGCTTGTTAGGAGTGAAAGTGAGAGGAAACAAGGGAAATGAGAGTGAAGGCAGGGAAGAGGAAATGGAGAAGAAAACAGCCAAAGACAGAGCCTGAAGCCACAATGAGGCTTAAAGTTGGAGCAGAAAGCCAAGGACCCACTAAGGAGACAGAAAAAAGAATAGGAATGCCTATCTCTGAGAAGATGAGATCTGCAGTCGCAAATGCTAACAAGAAAGCAAGGAAGAAGAGAACTAAAAAGAGGCCTTTGGATTTGGCAATGAAAAAGGAGGTAGTCTTTTTTTTTTTTTTTTAAATGCCACGCCTGGGGTTGGAACTCAGGACAGGGCTTTTCTGCTCAAGGCTAGTACTCTACCACTTGAGCCATAGCTCACTTCTGGCTTTTGGTAGTTTATTGAAGAGTCTCCTGTCCAGACTGGCTTCAAACATCTATCCTCAGATCTCAACCTCCTGAGGAGTTAGGATCACCTGTGAGCCACCCACACCCAGTGAGGGCATCTTTGCCAGAGCAATTTAAGAAGTAGAAGCCAAACCCAGAGTGTGAGCAATTGAAAAATGATGATGAAATGAAGGTAGTGATTTCTTTCAGGGAATTGTGTTGTTTTAGCTAAAGAAAAAAAGGCATTAACTGTATTTATAAATTTGTTTAGGAGGAGCTAGTAGAGAGAGGCTAAAGATTTTAGGAAAAAGCATCATCCCAGAGACCAGCTTGTTGCTCTCACAGATGGACTGAGAGCACAAAGAGATGGGAGAGCATCAGACTGACTCTGAGACCAAAGGCAGGAAGACACACAGCAAGATGAGAAGTTGAGGGGATCCTCCTCAGACTGTCTCAAACTTTCTCAGTGAAAGAGGAGGCAAAGCCTTCGGTGGAGAAAGAGGGAGAACAACGACTTGGAAAAGCCTCTGTAGGGATGAGGGAAAGCAATTGATCAAATACACGTATAACCAAGGCATGCTGAGGTCCCCATTGCTAGTGGAAAATGGGTTTCTGGAGTGACACCAGCCTGAGGGAAAGATGGGAGCTAGCCAGCAAAGCTCAGGGACAAGGACGGCTAAGACAGGTGGGAGCAGAGTAAAAATAGAAAGAGGGCAACATGGCTGGTGCACCTTCCAAGAAGTGTTGCTGTAATGGAGATGATGGAGTGAGGAAGGTAACGTTCACCTAAGAGTAGCCTGTACCTTCTCAGAACCTGGGGAGGAGATGGGAGAGAAACGGTGCAGCTGAAGAGCTGAGGGACAGTGCTCAGGCTCAGAGTTCAAGGCCCACGACCGACAAAAGAAAAGAAAAGAAAAATATTGTCTAAAAGAAAAGAAAAATATTGTCTAACTATATGTTGAAAGACAGGGAAAAAGGGGCTCAAGGAGTAACTAGCAGCCTCTGCCTTTGTTTGACATCTGTAGAAGGAAGAGTCTGTGCCTAAACACTCATCCTGCCAAGTGAAGGATTTGGCTTCAAGCCTACACTGAAGTTCCAGGATCTGAGGCTGGGACTGAGGATTCAGAGGATCAGAGAGCATGTAATCCTTTGCAGCATGGAACAAGGCCAAAGAGCTGTGTGCAAACTCAGCAGCAGTGATATACAACATACTTCTAAGTGAAAACAGACATAGACTAGAAGGGCCTTGACCCAGAGCTTCCCAAAAGGTGAGGACATAGTGGAGGCCGAGGCCAGAAATCTTATAACAACCAACTGGCTGCTCCCCATATACTCACCTCAAAACCTTTTACCCTTTGTGATTTCACAGTTACCCTTAATAATCTGTTAAACCTAGAGGCTAAATCAATGTATCCTGGAAAAACTAGTTGTCTTCTATTCATGGTCAAGAAGATTTAACTATCATTCAAGAAAAGAAACAAATTTTTGTCTTTTTTTTTTTTTTTGGTCGGTCATGGGGCTTGAACTCTGGGCCTGGGTGCTGTCCCTGAGCTCTTCAGCTCAAGGTGAGTGCTCTACCACTTGAGCCACAGCACTACTTCCAGAAATACATATTTTTTTTTCAGGAGGGAAATAGAGTTCATCTTTCCTGTGCAGAATAAACAGTTTTGGGGTTTCCATATTAATATATGCTGAATGCATCCTCTACTAAGGAGATGGAAAACTCTCAGGGAAAGTTCCAAGGCAAGACTGGAAGTATCAGCCCTGACTGGGCAAAGTCAGCTGAGTAAGCAGGGGTCTTGGAAGGAAAATAAGGTCAGTCCCCCCAGGACATGTCTCTAGTATCTAAGGCTTGACTGATGAAAGCCTCCCACAAGGCCAAGTTTGACAGCTATTTGGGTGAAACAAGGGGACATGTTACCTCCACATTTGCAAACCCATTCCCATGTGTAGCAGCTATCTGTAATACAGCTGCTCCAGAGTACAGGGAACAGCATTTCGTAGGCCATTCAAGTACAGGTGGTAACTTACCCTGTTTGAGGTAGGGAATATTCTCCCGATACCTGAGTTGGGTTTCAGGAGAAATTGTTAGAGTATATTAGACTTGCCAGAAAACCACGCAGACATCCAGGTACAAAGAACAAAGAAAACGTTTATTGGGAATAAAGGGAATGGCAACAGCCCTTTTCACAAGAGAGGAGTGAGAAGTGGTGCCAGCTATTGTCTGAGGTGACCTATATAACCTACTGAGGCTAGGAGGGGCTAGAAGGGGCTAAGAGGCGGAGACCCTAGTGTAGAAGTGTGGGCCAGGGGCTTCTTCATGGCAGTCTAGGATTGATGGCTGCTGCCCAAGTGGTAGATTAAGGGCTGCAGCTGCCCAGACCTGAAGTTCACTCTAAGGGGTTCTTGCTGCCTTATATGGTGGTGGTACCCCAGAGGAGTGCCATCTCAAGGTAAGAGGGGGTTTGGAGGCTGATTATTTACTGTCTTTACTAAATGGGCCTACTGCTGCCTAGGGAAAGAGCATGCTAAGCTATGGGAAGGGAGCTCATTGGGCTAACAGAAATTTTAAAAACATATATAGCCATTGCAAAATCAAACAGTTCAAAAAGGCAGAGGGTATCAGTAGAAGATACTATCTGTGTGTCTTCCTCTCTGTCTGTCTCTCTCTGTGTCTCTGTCTATCTGTCTGTCTGTCTTTCTGCCTGTCTCTCTCTCTCTCTCTCTCTCTCTCTCTCTCTCTGTCTATTACTCATACGGGGCTTGAACTCAGGGGCAGGGCACTCTTCTTTAACTTTCTGCTCAAGGCTGACACTCTACCATTTAAGCCACAGCTTCACTTCTGGCTTGTATTTTTTGTTGTTGTTGGTTAATTGAAGAAAAGAATCTCAGTCTTTTCTGCCGAGGACTGGCTTCAAACTGTGATCCTCAAATCTCAGCTGCCTGTGTAGCTAGGATTATAGGCATGAGCCACTGGTGTCTGGCAGGGCACCAGCTTTTAAAAAGGGGCCTCTTAGGCCCTCTTGGAACCGAGACCACAGAGTTAGATCTTCACTACAGGTTCTCAGTGACAAGCCCAAGCTGGAAGACAGCTTATCACCAACCCCCTCACCCTCTAGAGCTTACAGTGAGCATTGGTGGCCAAGTCACACACCTGAGGCCACCTCAGAACCCATGTATTTTCAAGACCCCAAACCTAGGGAGCCTTGTGGCAGTGGCTTTCCTCTCTGCAAGAAAAGCCTTTCCTTCTATGCCTCTTCCACCTGACTTGGACCTGGGAAAGCACTCTGTACTTCCTAGTCCTCTAAGTGCTTTTCTTCAATGCCACCAGCAAGAGCCAAGAAATTGAGTCCCTTGGGATACCTGCAGGGCACTATGGTTTGAATATGCTTTGTCCCCTCTGAAAATCATGTTGAATCATGGCACCATGGTGGTGGTCCTGGGAAGAGAGGCCTTTAAGAGGTGACTAGGTCTTTAAGAGAG